AACCCCCAGAAATTCATATTTAATTGGTCTGGGGTGTGGCTGGACATTGGAATTTTTTTAGAGCTCCCTAGGTGAGTCTAGGGTGCAGCCAGTAATGAGAGGCACTGTTGTCACCTCTGCTTTCTCACACCTGGTAAAACCTTCCTGTCGATTCACCTGCAACCACAGAGTTCTTAGGTTCTTGAACCTCAGCTAGCTTCTCCTTTTCTGTGTTTGCCTCATGTAGGCCCAATTCACACCAGTTCCTACCCCGAAGGATTTACAAAAGAGGTGCCTCCTGATGCAAACAAGCCTTGTCTCAAAATCAGGTCACAAACACACCTTCACTCACCCTCATAACTTCCTGGAACCATGATCCTGTTTATGGTTTACTGATAACATCCTGGACGGAGAACCATTTTCTGACTTGCTGTGACCTGGTCGGTCACCCCTTGGCTGTGATTGTAATTTCACATCCTCTGGTCTCCTCCATGGTCCCAGACTAGCAATAATTGATTACTTCTTTCCTCTTGGTTCTTGCCACCTGCTTCTACTTTGATAGGTTCTAGCCTTCTCAGTTTTTGCCCCCTTTAGCATCCATCTTGCAGTTCTAAGCCCAGTCTCCCCTCTGACTCTTGGTGCCTTGTGGGTCAACTTTCCACTTATTCTTCTGAGCGAGAGAGACTGGAAACAACAAGGAAGAACAACAAGGAAGAGGGAAATCTGGAATAACCTCACCAGGGGAAAGTCTTTGGGGGTGGGTTTTGGTTGGTTCAACACAATGTACTTTTTTTGTGTGTCTCAGGAACCTGAGGTGGAGTTATAGGGTACCCCGGTAGACTCTGCAAAAACCAAAATTCTTCTCATTTCAATATCATGATTTCTGTTCCTTATTTTCTCCCTCCTCATCTTGCTTTTCCCCCTTATATCACACATGGCATGTGGAACCCAAGTAGGAAATCAAAATTACTTTTACTGTCAGAGCGAGAATGAGATTTCAAAGTTAAACCAACAAATGTTGGACTGTGGAGTGGGAAAGAAAGTTACATGTGACAAGGATTCAACATTTATATAGGTCTTCAATACAGTAAAACATGAGAAAGTAGGAACCTGTGTGAGGCAGAAAACTGTCAGGGGAGGAAAAGTCAAATACAGTATTTTCCACTAAAACAGTAAAAGAAAAGTGGTTAAGACTGCACCCTGTCAAAGGTGGAGAACTTGTGAGACCTGAAAAAACAAGGCAGTCCCACTAAGTTCTGGCTCTCACAGGTTTCACTGTACAGGTAGTCCCCAGTTTACAATGGAGTTTTTTTCCAATGACATAAGACCGTTCTCTTGAAAGTTGAATAACTTACTTTTCTTAGTTTTCCTTATTATTGCCTTTTATTATTGGTATCTTTAGAATTTCTATCTTATCTGTCTTTAGGGACTGTAAACATTACATCTGAGAATGACAACATCAGCAAATTACGTGCTGCAACATTGTACGTAGTACGTATTACTAATGATAAAATGTACAACAAAAAACAAAGGAAGTTGGTAAGTGCAGTTGGTGGTAAATCGAATACCTTAGGGACTACCTGTATAATGTCTGTATCACTAATCTGTGAGGGCCTTGCTCTTTCATTAAAGCCCTTGCAACATACCTGAGGTTAATCATCTTCTCCCTCCTTGCCTTGGTCACGCTAGTGTAATAGACTCAGGCAGGACTAAGCCAAAAGTTCTATTTTAGTAGGAGTGGGTGCTACTTACCACATCAGCTCACTTCAGGCACCTACATCCCTTCTGCAGTTGTCAGCTGAAGTCCATTCAGTTGACAAATCTATCTAGTGTGACACCTGAAGGGATTCTTTAACTAAAGACTTTAAAGATAACTAAAGGATACATTAAGAATAAGTGAATCTACACTATAGAGTGAGACTATGTACAATATACTCTATATTTAACTTAAACAGTTATATAAATCATAATTATAAACAATATGTAGTAATATCCTGATAGTAACTTAAGACCCTTTTCTCTAGATCTGGAGCCCTGGTGGCGTAGTGGTTAAGAGCTCAGCTGCTAATCAAAATGTCGGCAGTTCAAATCCACCAGCCGCTCCTTGGAAACCCTATGGGGCAGTTCTACTCTGTCTTACTCTATCCTGTACAGTCGCTGTCAGTCGGAATTGACTGAACGGCAATGGATTTGGTTTGTGTTTCCCACCCCTCCCCAAGCGTTTATGTTTATGAATAGTCAACTGAGTTTTATTTATAATATTAAAAAATTGAAAGTAGTTTCAACTTTCAACAATAGGGAAATAGTTAAATAAACTGTGATATAGTTTTACAATGGGATACAGTCATTAAAATTCATGTTTTTTTGAGGAATATTTAATGGAATGGCAAATACTGACCTAATAGTCACTCTAAAAATCAGTTTATAATGTGATCCTATTTTTAACCTAAAACATGCATGGTAGTGCAGTGGTTTAGCACTTGACTGTTAACCGAAAGGTCCGCAGTTCAAATCCACCAGCAGCTCCCCAGGAGAAAGATGTGGCAGTCTGCTTCCATAAATATTACAGACTTGGAAGCCCTACAGGGGCAGTTCTACTCTGTCCTATAGGGTCACTATTAGTCAAAATTGACTTCATGGCAATGAGTTTGGTTTGGTTTTTGGTTTTCCCTAGATCCTAAGGAGTTCTGGCGGTGCAGTGGTTAAGTGCTCGGCTGCTAACCAAAAGGTCAGCTGTTCGAACCCACCAGCAGCTCCAAGGGATAAAGATGTGGCAGTCTGCTTCCAGAAAGATTAAAACCAAAAACCAAGCCCGGCTGCCACTGAGTTGATTCTGACTAATAGCAACCCTGTAGGGGAGAGTAGAACTGTCCCATAGGGTTTCCAAAGAGCGGCTGGTGGGTTCAAACTTCCAACCTTTTGGTTAGCAGTCTAGCTCTTAACCACTGTGTCACCAGGGCTACCCATAAAGATCACAGCCTTGGAAACCCCGTGGGGCAATTCTACTCTGTCCTGTAGGGTCGCTGTGAGTTGGAATCAACTCGACAGCAATGAGTCTTTTGGTTTCCCTAGATCTTAAGGTCCCTGGGTGGCATAAACTAGTTGTGGTCATCTACTAACCTAAGGGTTGGAGGTTCAAACCCATCCAGCTGCACTGCAGAAGAAAGGCTTCCATAAAGATTTGCAGCCAAGGAAATCCTATGGAACTCAGTTCTACTCTGTAACACATAAGGTTGCTATGAGTTGGAATTGACTTGACGGCTACGGGTTTGGTTTTTTTTTTTTCTCTAGGTCTTAGACAAATCTGTTTGTTGAGTCTCCTTTTTCCCATGGTTGACTTCAACGTCAACATCCCATACTAGTCTACAATGGCAGAGTCATTTTCTTAAATCATGACCCATTCTAATTCAAGAAAACTCATATTCATGGTTGACAATTGTGCAATATCCAGACATTATTAAAATGTCGTATATGATTATTTAAAAAATCACCAGAAAAAATCTTGGTCATTACAGAAAATTAGAAAATATGGAAAGTAGAATAAAAAAATTTAAACAAGCCATGATCCTCTGCTCAAATGTAACATTCTAATGGATTTCTTTCTAGTTTTTCTTTTCATTTACTGCATATATATTTACGTGTGTATGCATGCATATTTTAGGTTAAAAATAGGATCACATTATAAACTGATTTTTAGAGTGACTATTAGGTCAGTATTTGCCATTCCATTAAATATTCCTCAAAAAACATGAATTTTAATGACTGTTTAATGACTGTATCCCATTGTAAAACTATATCACAGTTTATTTAACTATTTCCCTATTGTTGAAAGTTGAAACTACTTTCAATTTTTTAATATTATAAATAAAACTCAGTTGACTATTCATAAACATAAATGCTTATGAACGTTTTTATTTATTTCCTTAAGATAAATTTCCCAGAAGTGGAATTACTAGTTCAAAGATGTAACATGTTTAAAGACTTTTGAAATTCACGTTGCTGTCCAGAAAAGTTGCACCAATATATAGCTCCTACCGGAGACATTTGAAACTGCCGCTTTCACTAACTGTCCAGGTTTGGTTTCAGTGCTGAAAGGTCTACATTTCAGGAAACCCCTCAACAGGATACAAAAAGTCTCGGTTTTCAGCAACGGGTTGCAGAAGATTGTGGGACACAGTGGCCAAAAAATAGGAGTGAAAGCAACGTTGTTTTTAGGGTCAAATCGATATGTCATAGACTATCCGTTTTCCATGGTCCCTGGCTGCTGACGTTGGCAACCATAATTTGCAGTTCCCACCGACGGATTATCCATTGTTGCATGACTAAGAGTGTATTGAGATAGTGAGAGTTTAATTTTTAACATTGTGACTGTTGTGACCAGATTTTCAAAGAGTTCAAGATAATGAAAATAAAAACAACTACAATACCAACACAAGCATGACCCAGACATCACTGAAATAGAAAGCTAAATGAGTGCAGTATTTGAATAACAAATGGGAAGGACACATGTAACTGATTGTCGTTGTGTGTGGTCAAGTTGATTCTGACTCATAGCAACCCTATATGACAGAGTAGCCCCTATAGGGTTTCCTAGGCTGTAATCTTTATGGGAGCAGATTGCCAGCTCTTTCCTCCCTTGGAACGTCTGTTGGGTTCTAACTGTAGACCTTTCGATGAGCAGCCTAGAGCTTAACCATTGTGCTACTAGGGCTGCTTACGTAACTGATTAGGGAGGTATGTAACCAAAACAGACATACTACACAATATGCAGAAAAGAATTTGGAATTGGGCATGGTGGAGAAAGGGGTGTGAAAGCACATATGGAAACAGAATCTTACAAGTCCAGTATAAAACAGGCAAGCACTTCTAAATCAAGGAAAAGTTTTGTTTTCCCTAATGCTCATTTGAAAGTAGTGGCTGCTGAATTAGTTTGGGAATGCCACAACAACAAATATGCATATTCACAGCCATCTTTCCCTTGATTGCTCTATGAAACTGAGTTGAACTTACATTTCCTGATTCAGGGGTTAAAACTGAAGTGTCCTGTAGGAGAAGAAAAGGGCAAATTTTGATGACAAATGTACTGGTCTCTTACAATGATTCTGTCAGATCTTACCAATAGTCATGCTTTCTACAGTATATCAAGTGATGAATCAAATCACAGCAGCAACAACAAAAAATGTCCCTCCTAGCTCTTACGTACTTCAATTTGAAAAATGGAGTTTCAAATCATCTTCTTGATTTATATGAAGATTTTAATGACACTGCAGAAAACATAAAACAAAAAAATTGCTGTCTTATCCAAATACAAATTGTGCATATTTGGCAGATGATACAAATGTATATTTTGGCAAATTCCATTCAGTTTCTATACTTCTTACCAAAGACAATGAAAAGATCCCTCCCACTAAATGTATGGTTTGCTCACCTAAAAGATTGAGGCTTTCATAATGAACGTTTTGGTCACTTTTCAGCTTCCTCAAAACTGCAAAATCAAAAACAAAATAAAACTAAAAACCAAAAAACAAACAAAAACCTGCAGAATCACTTAGTGAGATATTTGATTTGGTAGAAATGGAGGAGATAGCCTTCTTAGACATGTGACAGCAAGATGGCTATCATTGTTGCTGGCCTTAGAAAAGATGCCAAAATGTTGTCTATAAAATTATATTTTCAAAGTGTAGGATAAGAAGGATGTTCTAATCTTTAAATACATTGAGGATGAGAATGGAAAATATATATGCTGTTTCTTCAAAACTGAAGAGGCCACAGGAACATAAAAAAGGATGAACTGGCTGCACTTGAGTTGTTTGATGCTGTTTGTTGGTTCTGACATAAACTCATATAGTATTTTATGGAAATAAGACTGCTTCAGAACTCAAAAAAAAGCCACCAGAAAAATGCAGCCAAGTTAAATAAGACTTTCTCAATTCTTTACTAAAACTGTAACTTATTTGGAATCCAACTTCAATTTTACAAGTTAGATTACATCTGTACTTTAAAACCGTTTTTCTTGAGAGAGATTTAACTTACCATGGTATCCAACACACTTTGGAGTGTCTCCAAACGAAGGCCATTTTAGATAGACAGACCATATGATGAATTTATAGATGGAAAGGATCCGATTTACAAATAGCTGGTCAACCAACACGAGCCTATAGACACAAAGTGGATGGACATTTTTGGAGAGTTGGAAACTAATTCCTACAAGTCTAAAAACTTCCTGTTACTACTTAGTAAAGTCCTAAGTATTCCATGCACAAATGCTTTTGTTGAGAAGATGTTTAGTTTAATGTCATCCCATAGGGCTGACACCAGGAATTGGTGTATCGTGGGCTTGATAAGAGCAGAGCAGCAAGTCAAACTAAATTTTACATTTGACTGTATTCAGTTTTACCACCAAATCAAAGAAAAGGAAGATAACCTAAAGGCTATGGGCATTTCAGAGAAGGATTACTAGAAAAGGAAACAGACAGTAAAAATACCCTACTATATCATGGGACAGAAAGAAACATTTCAGTATTTTTCATTAAATATAGGTTTGTCAGAGAGTAAGAATGTGTACTCTGTTAAAAAATAAAACAGATTTATTGAAGGTTCAGGACAGTTTGAACCACAAACACGTCTGATCTCACAAAGTGAAACCAAATGTACCAAAATGAAGTCACAGAGGCATATTTATGAGGTAAAAATACAACATTCTAATAGGAAGTTGCAAGATTAGGTAAGCAGGAGGTGGGACAACTCGAACCCAGGATTTGGTTGGGACTGGTAAACAGAGTATATGTGGGTTAAGGGGATTGGGTACACTCACATAATTGAGACCTCGCAAGGGGGCTAAAGGTGATTGATAGGGGACCAAGGTCTGCTGGTTCCTCCCAACTAGAGGCCCAAAGTCATATGCATATGAATGGGAAGAAGTTAGTCCGCTAGTTCCACCCAGTCAGAGGCCCAAGGCCATATGCATATGAAGAAGTCAAGGTTACATTCTCAGGAATACAGAAGCAGAAGTCGTAAAATAGAGTCAGGCCTACACCTAAGCCAGCCACCCTAGGCATGCCAGGTACGTTAGTTTTGGAACTGTTGCCCAGGTTATGATTTAGTAGTGACTTAGGAAATAATATTGGAGTCATTATTCCCTGTCCTTGAGCATAGAGAATGTGACCCAGCTGGGGCTGGGCTCACAAGGACTCACTAGGACACATCAACTGGGCCCTGAGGTATAAAGACAATAGCTAAGATAATCTTGGAAAATATCTTTTAGGGAAACTTTCACGTAAAGCCTATCAAACACAACACAAAAGACTTTCCACTCTTATCTTTTTCTATTAGCATTTAGTGAATAGAAATTTGTTGGACCAATAAAGACCCTCCTGACTGTTATTACTGAAGCCTGTACCAATGATTGTTAAGAAAGACAATTCAAAATGTAGGATCACAGTTTCTAGCCAATCTGAAAAGGCTAAGCTTTTGATGGTTTTGCCCATTTGTAATGTTAATATATACTGAAGGCTCTGTAACTGTTCTTTGGACTCCGGCAGACATGGTTGTGGCAGCATGCTTGTCTGTTTTCCCACTTTTGTCTATTCTGTAATGGTCTTTGGACTCAGGCAGACATGGCTGTGGCAACATGCTTGTCTGTTTTCCTATTCTTGTCTATTCTGTAATATTTCCTTGGACTCGGGAAGACATTGCTGTGGCAGCATGCTTGTCCATTTTCCCATTCTTGCCTATTCTGTAATGTTCTTTGGATTCGGACAGACATGGCCGTGGCAGCATGCTTGTCCATTTTCCCATTCTTGCCTGTTCTGTAATATTCTTTGGACTCGGGCAGACATGGCTCTAGCAGCATGCTTGTCCGTTTTCCCACTTTTGTCTGTTCTGTGATATTTCCTTGGATTTGTGCAGACATGGCTCTGGCAGTATGGTTGTCAGCTTCCCACTTCTGCCCTTTGGAAAATGTGCCAAATAAAACTTACTTTTTGCCTTACTAGACTTTGTGATGTTTTTCCCCTACAACAGTAGATTAAAATTGGAGCCATTATTTCCTGTTCTTGAGTATAAAGAATGTGACCCAGCTGGAGCTGGACTCACAAGGACCTACAACTACTCATAAGGACACATCAGTTGGACCCTGAGGTATGAAGACAATAGCTAGGACAATCTTGGAAAACATCTTTTAGGGAAACTTTTCAAACAGACCAATGTGTCTGCGCCCAGCATGCAAGAAGCCAATCTCTCAGATGCTGTTTTTAGAGGAACAAAGAGTTTATTTCGAAGGCTAACAAGCGGGAACTCAGAGGTATCGACCTCAGATTGAGTTTGATTTGAGGAAGCATTCACATTTTATAATCATACATATTCATATAGGAGTGGAGGAAGGCGGTGGGCATGATCAGGAAGTTCTAACTATTCATAGTTTCTATTAGTTATTCATTATGAGGTGGGGGGCTAAGAGTTGGCAGGAAAGTGGCCCAGGGACTCTTTGCTTCTGAAATGGGCTTGGCTACTGCAGATGACATATGTCCAGTGAATTTTGGTTCTTTGACATGAGTCTTTTTGTTCCTTGACATGAGTTCTCTTGCATTATTGAGCACACATGGCGGCCCAGGGTTGTCTGTCAGTCATCTTTGTTCTGCACATGTCTGACCATTCTGAGCCGGTTAGATTGGGACCCGTCCAGAGTCTGCAAAACAACTTAGAGGAAGTGAGTGACATGGTGGGGGAGATGACTAGACGAGACCTGATAACCAATGGAGTGTCTTCAGTCTCTAGGGTCCCCTAACACTTTCACATAAAGAAATCATAAACAGAGAACAAAGGATGCACATACTTTCTACTCTTAACTTTCTCTATTAGCATTTAATAAATAATAAGATTTGTTGGATCAATGAAGGCCCTTCTGATTGTCCTTACTGAAACCTGTACCAATGATTATTAAGAAAGACAATTCAAAACGTAGAATCACAGTGATTTAGCAGTTTTTACCAATCTGTGAAAAGGTGAAGCTTTCAATGATTTTACCCATTTGTGATGTTAATATATGCTGAAGATTCTGTAATGTTCCTTGGACTTGGACAGACATGGCTCTGGCAGCATGCTTGTCCATTTTCCCACTTTCGCCTATTCTGTAATATTCCTTGGACTCCGACAGACATGGCTTTGGCAGCATGCTTGCCCATTTACCACTTTTGCTGCTTGGAATATATGCCAAATAAAACGTTTCTTTTTGCTTTACTATAACTTTGTGGTGATTTTCTCCTAGGGCGGTTAATATTTATTTAACTAGTCCCATCCATTTATATTTTCCTTTTAAAAGGTATTACATTTGTGTGTCTTAAGAATATATAACAATATAGCTTAAAAGTTTAAGTATACAACAAACACTTAAATGAGTGTGTGAGAGTTCCAAAATTGAAGTGCCTGACTCATATCAGAATGATCAGCCCAGGTCTGAGCCACAATTCCATCTAAGATTTTGCTTATTTCCCCAGCAACCTTCAAAACCTTAGTCAGACCTAAGTACATAGCAAAGGAAACATTTTTCTCTGTGGTTAAACTAAAGATATGGAAAGAATGTTCCTAAGGGAGGATCTTGACACAAGACCCTTATCAGAGATCCCCTCAGCAGTCCTCAGGAAATGTTTTAAGATAATTACCTTGTGACCACGTCATGTATTTAAACTAACCAATCCAAATAGCCACATTTGTGTTTCCAACCAAACACTGTAAAGCCCCTTCCACCCAGCTGCTTCGAGTTGTCCCACCTCCTGCTTACCTAATCTTGCAACTGCCAATCACAATTTTGTATTTTACCTCATAAAAATGACTTTGAAACGTCACCAGTTTGGAATGTTTGGTTTCACTTTGTGAGACCAGACATGTCCAAACTGTCTTAAACTTTCAATAAATCTCTTTGCTTTTATTTTTAACAGAGTATGCGTTCTTACTCATTGACACAAGAATTAAAATAAATTGCTGTATCAGAGAACCAAAAGAAACATTATAAAAATATTGTCATATTTTTCTCAGACATTATTTTTAATTACTCCTATTATTCATTACTACTAATTGCTTCTGTTAACTAGTCTTATTGATATTTTGGTTAAAAAATAGTATTTATGTAACAGAAGAGTAAAAAATACAGAATAATAGATAATTTAAAATGAGCGTATTTTTTCATATTTTATGTTAAAGTAATAATTACACAATCTTGCATGCTGAAAGTGAAGAGGACTTGAAGCACTTACTGATGAAGATCAAAGACCGCAGCCTTCAGCATGGATTACACCTCAACATAAAGAAAACAAAAATCCTCACAACTGGACCTGTAAGAAACATCATGATAAATGGAGAAAAGAACAAAGTTGTCAAGGATTTCATTTTACTTGGATTCACTATCAACACCCCTTGAAGCAGCAGTCAAGAAATCAAATGATGCATTGCATTGGGCAAATCTGCTGCAAAAGATCTCTTTAAAGTGTTGAAAAGCAAAGATGTCACTTTGAGGACTAAGGTGCCCCTGACTCAAGCCATGATGTTTTCAATTGCCTCATATGCATGTGAAAGCTGGACAATGAATAAGAAAGACCAAAGAAGAATTGATGCCTTTGAATTATGGTGTTGATGAAGAATATTGAATATACCATGACTGCCAGAAGAACAAACAAGTCCAGCTTGGAAAAAGTACAACCAGAATGCTCATTAGAAGCGAGGACGGAGAGACTTCATCTCACATACTTTAGACATGTTATCAGGAAGGATCAGTACCTGGAAAAGGTCATTATGCTTGGTAAAGTAGAGGGTCAGCAAAAAAGAGGAAGATCCTCAACGACATGGACTGACACACTGGCTGCAACAATGGGCTCAAGTGTAACAAGGATTGTGAGGATGGCACAGGACCGGGCAGTGTTTTGTTCTGTTGTACATAGAGTTGTTATGAGTCAGAACCTACTCAACGGCACCTAACAGCAACAACATAATTTGTATATATTGTGTTATTATATATATATATATTTTGTCTGATATATCTATGGAATCAATGACACTGAATTGTACATGTAGAAACTGTTGAATTGGT